AACACGAATAATGAGTGGTGTGGGTATGTGAAAACGTCCTTTTCTACCGATCAGAGAGTGATCTATTTTATTTCACATTTATCTAAGCCTTGAGATTTCCTGTCCGGTTTTTTTCCTCACATGGCTTTACATATTTGTCTCATCAACTAATTTGCCGAACCCGGTAGAGTTCTGTTGAAACAATGTAAGTGATATTTTTGAACCCAAATGGAAAAAGGCCATTTGCGCACGGTCGCACAGGTTGTGTTGGTGCCATGGCACCTAGGTTTATTACACGTATACTCCCATCTACCGAAATTCCTCTTAATCCGTTTATACAAAGCTTGGCACATTTTACGAACTTTTCCAGGTGAACCATGCATGAGTAATACACGCCGGTTTGGATCACGTGCTTTCCTTGATACCAGAGGTCTATCTATCTATCTAAGTACACGCGGACAAATTGTAGACGCCAGTGGAATTCTCGACATCGTCAATCATAACAACGGACTACGGTCATTCAGAGTACCCCAGCTATAAACTACACAGTATTGTCCATTGCAGCTCGTTTAATGACCTTGTCTGTGTATATATCACATGACTGTACACTGTCTGCTTGAAATAGTGCATGTCCTGGCCTGTGCGTTCCGCTGTTGCGGTCTCTGACGTGCATGGGCTTGCTACAGTGGTGTCCTGTCTCTCAACGATCAACCCACTCGAATCAGAAACAACTATACTCTTTCTTCGTCGACCCCCCGCCCCGCCCCCGTGAAACTTACTAAGTGGAGCATACATTTCATCGGCGAGACTTTGTTTGCACCATAATTATGAATCCGTCCCAAGTGCATAAACCGTTCTCCTCCGGTTCTCTCTCTCTCTCTCTCTCACCGTGTCCCTTTCTGTCCGCTTATCGACCAGTCAATCAAAATCGAGCTGATTTTCTCATTCACTGTGATTCACACGAACGTGCAGATCACTCTCGGGTTCTCGTCGCCGTGTTTGTGTGTGTGTGTAGTATCAGGTATGCGATTGTGTGCACGTACCTTAGAGATATCGTCAAACAGGTTGACACTGGAATTAAATTGTCCAAAGCACATGAAACCTGTCACGCACACACACATGTACACAAACCCATAGACACATTCAGGGTCATCAATGTTCGTGAAAATCCAAAGCGTTTGCTGCACACAGTCATGTACTTTGGTGCGTGTTTGGACATCACGGGATTGACCGGGTGCGAAAGCGCATTAGCTAAACTTCGAAGGCTGTACAGCAGAGCGTAGAAACACGAGGGTCAATCTATCAACATGCATATATACCTATATATATAGTTTAACGATCGAATACAAATTACGATATTTCACGTCCCAATCGTTGTGTTCAGGGTGAGTAAAACGCGATGGGAATAGAATACTATAAGAGCAACTGAGGATTGGAGTGGATGAAGAGAGCGATAATGAAAAATTTTATTACAAACGATCACCCTCATTATACGCCTATCCTTTTCTATTTCATTGCAGTAAGCACAGAAGAACTTCAGTTCAATAATGGAAATTCTGTCTATTTATGGGCTGGTCAAACTGCTAGGGTTTACCGATTTCACATTCTCCGGTCAATGAGAGTTAGGAATGAAGGTAGAGTGAAGATGGAGGCAAGTAGTTTTCATCAGAATACGCACAACAGTTTAATAAATGGCCAGTACGAGGTATTTGGGAGTTTTTGCCTTCAGAGTATGCACCATTTGCCTCACGCTCTCGTGTCACGTCGTTTATGCACTAAATATTTAATGTTTCAGGCAAACACTTGATGAAACGCCGGCATGCCTTGGCATTAGTAAATTCTAAACAAAAACAGTTGATTAAGGTTAAGGTTACATCAGGTGATGTCCTCACATCCAGAATAGTACATGATGTTTCTCATTATGTTCCGGTAAACGATTTAGTTGTGATGATATCATGTAGGTTGAATAGGATGAGCTTGTAACTAATGCTCGTAGCAAACATTTGACACTGGTTACTTACACTTTCATACAAAACCATTTCTGGTGATTGCCTTTTCACTGAAACACTCGTTACAGTCGGATCAAACGAACTGGCTGTCTGATTGACGTTGAAGATCTTGTAGGAACAAGCTTAACTCATAGGTTCTGAACACTTTCAAATTGGGCCGATTGGCACAGTGGTAACGCAAACTTATTCCGTGTGGGTGGGATGACAGGAGTCAAAATCCAAAACTGGTCATTACTTCAGATAATCTTTGACGAGAATGAGATTCGATGAATCAAAATCAAGGTAACGATGGGTCTCGAACTTTGAGAAAAGGATAGATCTTTTAAATGTTAATTAAGTCTTTTAGGTTTTAACACTAAAGGTACGCCTCGGCCTTATCAAAATGGCTGCAAACAATAACGAGAGATTTCTTTTCAGATCACAGAATCAACTGTTTCATGTTTGGTCTATTATGTCTAAATGCGTTGAACTCTTGAACTTGGTAGAAAGTGAAAGACCTCGTTTGAAAGGTTCCAATTCCGAAGGGGACCGAGAGAAAATCCATTCATTATGGAGGGGAAACAGTGAGAGAACATAGTGAGTATTCACGCGTTTTCAACATATTGTTCGCTTGATAACTTTCAGTGATTGATAAAACAAGGGAATCGTTGAAAATTTATGGAAGAAATTTTTAAACAACATGAGGAAGATATTTCTTTTATAGCAATTCAGAGTCCAGAGGATGTTTATCTTGGCGAAGAATTTCATACGAATCAGAGAGTAAAGAAATCGGCTTCCAGGCAGATTAGGTTTATTTTCTTGGGTTTGCTAAGCCCAACTTAACCATTAGGCTAGAACGAACCGGCGAAAATCATTCGAGGTTTCTATCGAACAACAAATATTAAGCATTTACTTGGTCAAACTGTATCGTCTATTTGGTTGAGTAGAACAAAACAGATTTTTTGCTGGTAATAAGGATATCAAATTCGATATTCATATCCGTTCACCTAAATAATTCGATTCAAATGAACGCCGTGTACCCAACTGATGCTAAATGTAACACTTAGATCAAGCACACACAAATATGCACCAAAGGACCACGCCCAAATCTCCGATGCCATGCTTACTAATTTATGCGATGAATTTTGATGCTTCTCTTTTGGCTTGGTTTACAAATAGAAATAGCACATTTAAACATGCATCCCCTTCCCACATTCCCGCAGACTCACCCATCTTGGTTGCATAACATTAAGCTGGCTGTCGAAAGTACTATCGCAGGCAAGTGTTGCATCTGAAGTGTCTAAAGGTGACACAACAGCACTATTTCAGGTTAATATCTCAACCTAAATGCGGTCATGATTTAGGATTCACTTGACGCAGCCCACCTTTTGCGAATGTGGTGAAATAATTTTATCTACTAACTTAACTTTGAGTAGTATGAATATAATTTTCATTATTGTTCAACGGGCATATAACCACAACCTCGCACCAATACATTGATGCCCGCATTATTCACAATCCGAAAGGACAACAAAATCAAAACACATTCGTTTGCGAATTCACATAATATTAAGGCCTCTTTTTTAGGTTTCTTTATATTTGAACACCATAGGCTTGGTGCCAACGCAACACGAGAGTAGCAGAAAATGCGATGGGGGGGATACACAGCAGTGTAAAGGGGTCTCATAGCCAAGTTCAAAAATGAGAATAATTTTTTGTTTGTTTCACCGTGCACTTTTGATACTTTTTGTTCGAATTTATCGTTCTTTTTTATCGTGCACGGGATTTCAACAGGCAGACCGTGTAGCACTTCCCGCCATTGACTTCTTTTCTGGGCCATATCTAACAGCGTCTCTAACCAACGACAATCCTCATCTCTTGGGCCCACACCCCGGAAGGCGAGCTGCACCAACCGAAGCCAGGTTCTCTACACCTCTACTCCATGTCATGGTCCAGCTGCCGCGGCGCTTTTTCCAGCTATGCCCGGCACGTGCGAAGAGGACCCGGAAAGTTGGTCGATGGGCAGGTATAGGCAAAACGTGACCAAGTCATCGGAGGCGATTTATTCTATCATGTTGCGTAATCAGTTAATAAAAATGATCAATATGAGATTTAATTTAGTTGCAATCTTGTCCAATACAAAGAGTGCTTCAGGTACGGCTTTCTTGTTTACTACTGCTATATTTGTAACCGGTTGATACAACTCACGGAATGAACTTCTTTCAGAGTTCCACAAGGTTTTCCGTCATTGTGAATAGCTGAGTAACTTTACCAACACATACAAGGTAACCAAATTATGTGAATTGATGAAGGTTTTGAGGCAGAACTGAATCCCAACCAAGCTGACTCGCAGTACATGTACACTGTGGTTATGCCTATTATGATACACAACCCCGAAACTCCGATTAATTTGTACCGCACTGATGAATTTATTTTCGACACACTTACGGCGAATAGACCAGTGAACATAACATTATTTACCCGGATGGATATTCTTCACGTACTAAGCAACGAACCACATGTTGGTAACCGAGCACAATGCATTCAAGTCCATTATATTTATCCCTAGCCCATTCCTTAGCTGGATATTTACCTTGAAGTATACGATGTCTTTGATCATAAAAAACGACAGCTGTCGATCAGATCAGTTAATGGATTACCAGGGAAATTGAATACTGCATTCTTCTATGGAGCTGTAAGAAAATGGAATATTGAGAAAATGTCTAAGGATGTTTTGGGGAATCTTGCACGGTAGTTCAACAGCAGTCGGATCTTAGAAACCTGACACTATTTCAAGAATGAGACAATTTGCTGATTGCGACAGCCCATAGAAACCCTGGAATGGTAAAATGTAGAAAGAAATCGACACAATTTGCGGAAGAAAGTTTTAGATGTATAGATATATTTATATATATATATATATACAGGTGATGATGAAAATCAGGCACGGAATGATTCGGACAAGTTGGTGGCAAAGATATGCATAAAGAACAAATAATCATACGGGATCCATTATTTTCATTATCACTATTATCATAAGGGACTGTTTTCGGATTTGGGGGGACTAAAGTCCGGTACAACATCACGCAATTTGGATCTGAGGCGTTCCAGTCTTCGCTCTCTCTCCCGTTCCTCGTGCATTAATTGCGGATAATGACGCCACGCGGTGATGCAGCGTTGTTTCAATGAACTGTAATGATAAGTCGGATGAAAACAGGGATTTATTGAGAGAGAAAGCAGTAGAAAAAAGCAATAAAGAAATACACGCCACTCTCAAGGCAAAAAGTTTGGCACACATTTCAATTATTTTTAACTAAGGATTCCCTATAAATTTGTGCACTATGAATTTGGTATAAGCACAAAGTACTCTAACTTTGTCCATAGAGTAAGCCATGAGAATTCACCCACATCATATCACCCCGAGGCTCACGAAAACAGTTCGTAAGAACATTTCTATGGATAATGCTAAGCACGATGCAGTCATCGCCTCACCCGCCCCTAGTGACCAAAACCAATGCGTGTGTGATCAAAGCGTGAGCGAAATTTGGCTAGAAAACTGGAGTGTGGACCATTGTTCTTTCCATTTTGTCATGATTTCTTCTCCCACTATATATATATATATATATATATATATATATATACAACACCAATGTTTACAGATAGGGGCACCAAAATAACCATGAGTGAACTGAAAAATATGGGAACAGAAGCGCGGAAAACGAAAGCAGTCAACTTGGGGTATACCAATTGCTTTTTGTTTACTGTACGCCATTTTGAATTTTATTTTCGTTTTTTGTTTATTTTGGGGATCGCACACAGGAAAAATGCATTCACGCCACTGACTTCGGCTCAATGCCATATCCACTGGAAAGTTTCACATAAATTGTGATGTATTAATATGTAGATGGATCACCGCAAACGAGTTTGTGCGCTACTGTTTTTCTTTTACTTCAACTTTAGTTTAGTGAAGGTGTCCGAGGATCATTTGAATTCTAGAAAGAACGTTTAGCTTTATCTCCTCTACTTCATTTTCGGAACGTGGGGAACAGAGTGCATTCTGTTCAGACATGTACTGATTTATGGCGCTAACCGTTCATTGCTATTTCATTTCTTATATCATATCAAAGAATGGCTAATTCGTACGCCTTCCATCCGAACCGGTGCGACTTGGCGATTACTGCATAAAGGAATAATTTGATTTGTGTTAGATTACGAACAAAATGGATAAATGGATGAATACATACGATAATTCAATTGTCTGTTATCAGGTCGTTTGAACGGCTTTGAAACGAAACAAGGATGAATTAATCGGTGCATGACTTTTATCCCCTACAATTTATGATCCGGTGGAGTAGAGCTATCTGTATGCTACCGAACGTCTCCTCGGATTGCGGATAGGGCAGCGGATAGCAACTGGAGGGGGATCCAGGCTCGTTCCATAAACGTCCGATGACAATCGGCAGCAGTGCTTAAGTATGTGATAGATTTACCACCACATATATTTCTGCGGACATAGCTCTGACGTGGTAGGTATGGCCCATCAATTAATGTGGCTATTGCCCCCCCCCCTTGTCGACTTTCATTTATGCGACAATGTTGTCGATAAAAAACGAATGAACCACATAGCTGACCTTCGGTACACTAGAAGCGTTGTTGCTTGATCACTAAAGGCTAGAGCGTATGCTCAAACAAGGATTATTCTGGACCGAGCCACCAACTTAGTGTAACAACCCAGAGCGAAAAACATTATCAACGTTTTAAAATCAGCCAACCCAATTTCTTTGCATCAATGTCTGATAACTACTAGCATCAATGCAGCTGATTACAATTCTAAACGCTTCCTGCTCCCAATAGCGCCAAATTCTCATCGAATTATTTCTCTCTATTGGTCAACTCTCTCCTTCATCCTTAATGAACTTTCGAACTAGCCATATTCAATGAGTAAACCCTAAGGCGTGCAGGACAAAGTGCAAGTTTAGCTACATTAACTCTTGCGTAAAACGGATCCAAATTGTATTATGATTTATTTGGGATATAAACAATATGGAGTAGGTCGGCTGTCTTCGAACCGGGAGCATTTGAAGGTCATTTTGAGCAATATTTCTATCGCTTAAAGAAAGGCCTTGTGCTCTGACCCTCACCGATGCTACGGTTGTGAGATACTACTCATATATTTGAGTAGTATGGTTGGATTGCACAAAGAAATGTGATCGGCAATTCCTGACAGCGGTCAAAGGTGAACAAGACCTAGAGCGAACACGGACTGTTTCAATCATTATCCTGTGTGCTGCTGGGAATTTCGATGGCATGTTCCAAATGAGACATCTAGTTATATGTACGCCAACTTATCCGTACCTTAACTGTGGTTCGTAATAAAAAATTCTCTCAGGCCAGTGCTGGTCTTTTGGAAGTATAACACTAGCTTCACATGCTCCGATTGCCGATACGCCACATGAGGTCCGCCCTCCTATAGTCAGCGATGGACACGAATCGAATGAAACACTATAAACCATAAACGACCGAACTGCATCCAAGATTGTCTAGCGTACTGGAGCACTCTCCTTAAATCCGACCACGCATTGGTTTGCACTGAGTTGCCTATAAAAATCATTAGCTTTTTAAAACGGGTGAAAAAACGATGCTCAGACCATAATAAGCGGCCCCAGTTTATTTAACCGCCTTTTAAAAGGCGTTGGCGTAAAAGCTATGACTGACCCACAGAATACCATCAAACATCATTGGTCGTTCATCAAGAATACTCTACCTTACGCTGACGACATTATTAGTCATCTGACACGTAGTGCCGTGACACCTCAAAGTTCCACTAAACCCCTGTTCCTTCTTGACGCACGCCGATCAATCCTCAGCAAACATAACAAAACGTAAGCGTAACCGGAGATCGGGGAATCTGTTGCTCTAAAATTGCTTCAAAAATAGGACTTTCTTCCTCCATGGAAGATCCTCGAAAGCTGTTTTCCCTTGTCCGAGTCACCAGTGGGAAGGCTAAAGGTGTGAGAGTACTGATCAGTGGAGCATATGGCTTGTATATTTAAAATCAATCAGGGCATGTTTCGAGCTGAGCGCAGCACTTTAAGAAACAGTTTAACTGGCCATCAGTGTATGTTTTTCCCACAGCTACTTTAGCACATGTTTCGCGGTCATTTTCGACAAAACCACTGTCTGAGGTCGACAGCCGCAACGAGATTCAATCCATGGAACGCTGCCAAGTGCCGGGCTTCAGTGATGTTCCCCAGCAATATTTAAGGATGATGGAGTAAAACTAAACGAAGAAACAAAAATTGTATTCTTCAAGCTTTGGAACACCGAGCAGGCTCATCCAATGACAGCGCCAGTGGGTCAAAACTGTCAGCGTTCGTCATTCTTTGCCAGTTGTGCAATTAGTATTTGGAGCATGCCCACGAGGAATGGGCCGGGTTTCGTGCCATTCGTGGATGCATTGATCAAATCTCCATCCCACGACAGTTGCTAGATCACCATCATGTTTCAGACGACAATTGTGTTTCTCCATACATCCGCACAGTCTTCGATTCCGTTCATAGGATTGCACTATGGAGATTGAGAAATGAAGTATCTGCAAAATGTGTGTAGATCTCAAAGACTTGCATCGTTATATCTCAGATCGTAGGAGGGCCTTTCGCCACTTTTGAGTGGAGTGGGACAGGGGTGCCCGCTTTCCAAATTCCCTTTTGGCTTTACTTCCGGAATGCTTTGTCCGATCGAGCAGATAGTGGAGTTTTACTCCTCCCAGGAAACAGACCTTTCGACTAAAACACACTGAGAATAGTGCCTTCCTAAGTGACAATAAACAGGCAGTCTTGCACGTTTTTAACCGCTTAGTGACAGAGGTAACCAGATGCAGTATTTTCTTTGCATTTTCCAAAAGCAGAGTGCTTGATCATATATATATATATACATATATATATATATACATATATATATATAT